AGAAGGTTAAGAGGTGACTTGATAGAGACATACAAGATGATCAGAGGATTAGATAGGGTGGACAGTGGGAGCCTTTTTCCTCGGATGGTGATGGCTAGCACGAGGGGACATAGCTTTAAATTGAGGGGTGATAGATATAGGACAGATGTCAGAGTAGGTTCTTTACTCAGAGAGTAGTAAGGGCGTGGAATGCCCTGCCTGCAAAAATAGTAGACTCGCCCACTTTAAGGGCATTTAAATGGTCATTGGATAAACATATGGAATAGTTTAGGTTAGATGGGCTTCAGACTGGTTTCACAGGTCGGCACAACATCGAGGGCCGAAGGGCCTGTACTGCGCTGTAATGTTCTATGGGAGGTGGTAATTGCTTGCTATGTCAGCATTTGTTACCCTTCCCTAATTGTTGTAGACTTGAGTTGTTGCTGGGCTTTTACAAGAGAGAGTTAAGCGTGAACCATTTTGCTGTGGGTCTGGAGTTGCATGTAGGCCAGACTGGGTAAGGATGGCAGATTTCCTTTCCTGAATGACTTTTATTGAAAGAGATGAGTTTGACAGCAATCTATAGATCGAGGTCATGGTGAAATTAGACGTTAACTGGCTTCTTGTTTCAGATTGATTCATTGAATTTAAATTCCACCAGCAGTTTTGGTGGGATTTGAAAATGTCTCCCTAGATTACTAATCCGGTGACATTACCAGTATGCCACTGTTTTCCCCCTCATTGATAGATTTTTGTTGGATTAAGCTATAAATCAAAGGCGGGTAAACACAAATGAGCCACGATTGAGTGGTGCAATTGGTTTGATGAGGAGAATAATCTGCCTCCATACCCATGTGGAGGAGACTGAAGCTGTAATCTGCCTAATATGTTCACTGCTTTAAGCAGAGGATGAACAACAAGGGTACAATAGTCATTGTCTCTGATGTTAAATATATTGATAGAATTAAAGAAAGCATTGAAAGCTGCTGAAGATATTTAAACTTGCACCAAATTGAAAGAAAAATGAACTTGTCAGAATTGAAATTGTCAAGCAAGAATACCTGAGGGTTAAATCAGATTTTCTGACCGTTGTTCCAGTTATCACAATGTTGATTAATATTATCACAACCGCTCACAGATTTCCTCTTCCATTCTCCCACGAATAGATCTAACTGAGTTTTGTTTTCCACAGGGCCCCAAGAATGAAGACAGGCTGAGTTGTAAAGTATGCACAGCTGAGGTAAGATTTTACATGCCGGAAATTGTGGGGCTGAGGGAGGTGAGAGTGGAGTATTAAATACAGATACATACATTTCTTTTTCCTGTAAAGGTTTCTTTTTGGTTAAAAATAAACAATTGAATTAAAAGCTATATAAAACAATAAATATCACCAATGATACTTAGGAATCTGTGGTCAAAAGTGTCTAAATCTCATTATCCTATGGGACCACTTGCAGTTAAAGTGATGTAATGGGCTTTTGAGTCATATCAGCATTTGTGAAATGTGAGTGCTGTCTGCCATTGCATTAAAATTGACATTGTGTCTAACATTTAAATAATGTGCACTCCAGTGTGAGCTTTACTGTGCCATATCTACATATGAATGCATCTAAGTGCTGCCGTGATTTCTTCTCAACAATATGAGATACGTACTATTTAGCTGCAGTAAAACATCAATATCCCTCATTATCTGCAGTCAGTATAATGAGTGATCGAGTCTGTAAAATTTCATTCAATATAATGTTGAAATTTTAATTGCCTTTAAAATGCACCACTTTTTGTGATCTAAGGATGGGTCTCGAACACGTGAACTCACAAATGCCTTGATGAGCCAGTTAATCTATTAGTTTAAAACGGCCTTTAAGCATAAATTTTGGAAAGTAGCTGGTTTAAAATTAGTCAGTAAATTTTACACAGTGTTACTTTATTCATAAAGTTGACTCAATTGTAGTGTCACAATGAGATATCATTTATAAGTACCGGAGCTGTATATATGTGTGTATATATATGTTAATAAAATATTGATGATAATAATTAACATTCAAGGTTATTTTCAATTGAACATTTGGTTACAGAAGTGATTTAGATCTGTTTTAGTCTGCTTGGCTTCATCCCATGCGTGCTGTTTAAGTTTAATTGGCAGGTTCCAAAACAGAAATGTGGATTTCACTTATTGCCATCTTGTCCATCTTGTTCTTTTCAATCAATCACAATTTGTTTTATCAAATGAACTCATTTTTGATTATCATCTTTCACCTAGTGTTCATTTACATAAAGTATTCTATATATATTCACCATATTGAATTTTGTACTTTGCTGCTATACATTGTAGTGATGTGTACATCTGGACATGTACACTTGTCTCAAGACACCTCTGCAGGGGTTCCTCAGGGTACTGTCCTCAGCCCAACCATCTTCAGTCAATTACCTTCCATCTACTGTGAGGTTATAAATGGGGTGTTTGCTGATAACTGCACAATATTCAGCACGATTGCGACTCCTCTGATATTGAAGAGTTCCCTTTCTATGTGCAGCAAAACCTGGACAATATGCAGTGGCAAGTAACACTGATGCCACACAACTGTCAGGCATTATCCATCTCAAACAAAAAAATTTCCCCTTGACATTCATTAACATTTCAATTGCTTAATCCCCCACTATCAACATCCCAGGGGCTACTATTGACCAAAAACTGAACTCAAACAGTCATATAAATATTGTAACTCGAAGGCTATGAATATTATACTGAATAACTCATCTCCTGACTTTCCAAAGCCCTTCAACCATCTACAAGGCACAAATACAAAGCTTGTATACAGTGTGCAGTTTTGGTCATCTTATGTAAGGAAAGATACAAAAGAGATTTACCGGATTGTTAGGCATCCTTAGAAGAGGCTTAAGGGTCTAGGCCTGAAACGTCAGCCTTCCTGCTCCCCTGATGCTGCTTGGCCTGCTGTGTTCATCCAGCTCTACACCTTGTTATGCCGGATTGATATGCTGGAATGAGTGGTATGTTTTATGAGAGTAGGATAAAATAAGGTTAAGCTTATTTCCGCTAGAGTTTGGAAGAATGAGAAGTGACCTGATTGAAATGTGTAAGATCCTGAATGGTGGACATGTTTTCTCTTGTGGGGCAATCCAAAACTAGTGGGCTGTATTTTAAAGTTGGGGCCATCCTTTCAGGACAGAGATGAGGAAAAGTAATAAGAAGGTTATGTGACTTTGGAACTGTGCTTCAGACGGCAGTGGAGTCATTGAATATTTTTAAGATAGAGGTGAGTTGATTCTTGTTAGGAAGGGAATTAAAGGTGATTGGGGCTACATGGGAATATAAATTTGAAACACAAAACAGATCAATCATGATCTTCTTGAATGGTGGAGCAAGCTGAAGGGTCAGTGTCTACTACTGTTTTGCATGTTTATATGTAAATATGTTTGTGTGACATGGAATAAACTTCACTTTTAGTCTATCAGCACTCTAGAAGCTCAGTATCACCCAAGCCAATGCTGCTTGGTTTATTGGCACCCCATTCACCACCTTGAACATTCACTCCTCCACTACCAGTGGCAGCAGTTTTTACTATCTGCAAGTTGCACCACAGCAATTGACCCGGGCTCCTTCCAAACATATAACCTCAACCATCTCAAAGGACAAAGGCAGCAGGTACATAGGAACGTCACCACCTGCAAGTTCACCTCCAAGCCACTCGTCATCCTGACGGGGCAGTATATTGCTATTCCTTCACTGCTGCTAGGTTAAAGTCCAAATCCATTTCTAACAGCACTTTTGGTTGTATGCAGTCTGCAACGGCCCAAGAAGATACGTCAATGTTGACATCTCAGGGATAATTAGAGATGGGCAACCAATGCTTTTCTCGCCAGCAACAGCTACATCCTGCAAGTAAATAAGGGGAAAAGAAAGCATGATGGGGTCAGGTGACTTAGCTGGTGGGGACTTGGTTGGCAGCTCAGGATAATGCCAACAGTTTAGGTTTGATTCCCATTCCAGCTGACATAGATTTGGGGCCTGCCTCTTCACACTGCATTGAGACTGGTAGGCAATGTTAAGTCACCAGTAACCAAGGGTCAGGATGAAGCATCAGCAGATAATGAACCTACTTTCGGACAGAGCACACATACCATATACACAAGTGACACTGGCCGTGAGGATTAGAATTATTAGGGTAACATTCTCAAATGTCCCTCTACGGGCAGCCCAATCAAAAGCCTGACTGTGATACAGTAACACAGTCTGAAAGGTAACTTATTGGTTTGATGTTTCTTTTATTACTGTGCTACGTCTCAAATATTTCTGAGGAGTACTGTCTCTTATTAGATTGCACCCCAGTTTGTTGTCAATTTCTCATCAGTCACTTTGGAGGCTGTCAATCTGAAAACAATTATCACAGGAAATCCATTAGACATCTATCATCTATTATGGAACTAGGACAAGTGACTGTGAACACCAGTGACCTTACAATCAGCTAGCTAAAGCATTAATGGTTTATTTCAACTATCTACCAATTCTTAAATTGTCCATCACGAAGAGCTATCTTCTCATGAATTGCTTGAAATACATCTTACTAAAGAGCCTGACACTCATCCTCTCTTGCTGGTCTGTTATGGCCAAAGTTAATGGCTGTCTCCCAAAACCTGTACACAAACATGATTGGCAAATAAACAATGATATCTGGAACCATGCAGAGGAACAGTACCAATTGAAAAGGGGGACTGAAGATTCGATGAATCCTTTGATTCTTTTTTCTATTGATGAAGTTAGGGAATGAGACAGAATTCCTCAACATTGGAATTGTCAGATTTTGAGGGGGAAAAATTCACAATAGAGTAATTTTGAATGCATGGTGGAGAGGAGAGCAAATGGTTGATTTCTCCTACTGAGAAATGCCAAAATAAATTGTAAGCTCTGCATGGCTTGTGTTCGATAAATCTTTGTTTAGATCATAGTTTACTCTTATGGCTTTTTATCCAATGATAGAGAAGGGAGGTCATCTAAAGTGCGAAAATTAAACAACAGTAGCAAGATACAGGTCTACCCAACTCCGATAACTGAAGATGTAAATATGTGACAGAAAATTTAACAAGCAAAATAAAGTGGGTATGCAACAGTAACAATGGCTTATATTATATATAGTGCATTTGAAATAATATAGGGTCTCAAGGCACTTACACCAAGTCACTTAAGGCGATAGCAAGAAAGTTGGTCAAAGGGATAGGAATTTTCCATGGCATTTTAAAGGAGGGTTGAGGGGTAGTGTTGGGGAGATGATGAAGGGGGTAATTCTAAAATTTGAGGCCTACGATGCTGAAGATATGGCAGACCATGGTGGGGCAATTAATAGAGAGGAATTTGAACATAAGGAAGAGAATCACATGGTGTATTGCAGATGTAATGACCACTAGGAGTGATAGACAAATGCGACTCGATGTGAGCCAGAATGCTACTCAAAATAACAGCTAATGTTTGCCCCAAAGCCATGTTACCATTCTAGAGATTCCTCTCATTGAATATTACATACAATTAGGTGGGAATATCTTCTAAGATTGGATCTCAGTCTTGGGATTTCTCTGATGCACATGGTTGAATGGCTTACCAACACTATTGGAATTTATCTGAGAGATCAGCTTTCAGGTAGAGTATAGGAGGTCTGCAGTGTGGGCGACAACTGTGGGGAGATGAGGACAGGAGTGGGGACAGACAGCCAAACAGATACACGTTATTAGACTCTCTTTCACCTCCCTTGGACATCTACCCCAGTAACTTTGAGATGTAAGCAAAGATTTGAAAAATGTCAAAGGTGTTTCAAACAATTTCTTCTCAAACATGTTTGATTGATGACATATGGAATGATGATTTGTCCATCTGTGTGTTAATGCACTATATGATCTTTGGGTTCAAGATCTGATACCATTCTAATCCTCAGCAGATGCTGAAACAATGCTGCAATGAATGCTGTGTAAATAGTCTGACCGAGGTAAGCTGGGATATAGTGGTATTCTTTATCAGTTTCCTTCCCAAGAGAGACATTATTGGAAAACAAACTCTCACACCTTGTAAAACTAAGTGCCTGGTGTTCTGATACTGCATGAAACCTGTGAAAATACAATTTGCAATAAGATTTAGACATTTCACTTAGCTTTTTAGCTGAACTCTCCACAACATAGATTGTTCTCCAGAAACACATTTTGTTTTACTGACTTGTTATTGGGATAAGAAAATAC